GGGACTGGCTCCAGCAACCCTTTATCATCTGGTCTCCCACCTGGGCACCCCAACCCAGATCTGACGCGTCCGTAGTTATGAAAATGCTTGGGCCTTTCTGAAACAAAGGAGAAGCCCTTCGCAGATTCGTCAACCACCATTTCATTTCTTTTACTGCAGAAGGATGAATGCAGAGGAACTTCGTAGGTCTTCTTTCTGGATGGCGATGACTGTATCTCTGCATGTACCTCATGTGTAATCTTCCGAGCGGAATCGCAAATGATGCGAAATTCAGCTTTCCTAGAATTCGTTTGGCAGCTTCCCAGCTCCAAACATTCCTTCTTATTAGATCCGAGAGATCTTTCTTTATCGACGACCTCTTGCGTCTCGGTAATGATACCTGATCCATTTTCGTGTCCCAGATTAAACCTAGGTACTCGCACCTCTTTCTTGGACGCAGGGAGGATTTCTCCCAGTTGATTAACCAGCCCAAACTTTCTAAAAAGGAAATCGCTATTCTGGTGTGATGTTCCAACTCTTCGGAGTTCTGATGGGCTAGCAGGAAGTCGTCCAGGTAAACAATCAATCTTATGCCTCTCTCCCGAAGACGACCCGCTATCCAATTCGATAGGCGAGCAAACGCGAGAGGAGCTGTTGCTAAACCAAATGGGAGGCATGTCATCTGTAGAACTTCCTGGTCGTGAACTATTGACAGAAACCTTCGATGCGATTGTTTTATTGGGATGTGAAAGTATGCCTGCGTTAGGTCCACCTTTACCAAAAAGTCGTCTCCTTGTAAAAAGGTTGGGACCTTCAGATGGTTTAAGAGGCGAAATTTTCTTGGTAGCAGGTGTGCGTTGAGACGTTTCAGGTTCAGAACTGGTCTCAGAGTTCCGTCGCTTTTTGGAACGGCAAACATCCGTGATAGGAAGCCCGTTGTATGTGCTGATGGCTGTAGTATTCCCTGCTGCCTCATGATTTCTATCTCTTGGGACAAGCCGTGGGAAGCAAAATGATGTAAATGCTTGCCTGAGAATCTTATTAGGGGAGGTCGCTTCACGAAAGGAATTGAATATCCCAATACTGTTTTTAAAATAGCGTCGGGTGCTCTTGCCGAAATCCAGGAATTTACGAACTTTTGCAAGCGACCTCCTTTGAACCCCGAACTGATGGCGTCATTTCTTCCTTTGTCTTTTTTGTCAACACCGCCCTCTCTGGGTTTATAAGAGCCAGATGAAGGTTGATTTCTTGATGAACGGGACTCTGACGGACGCTTCCAGGTATTCCTCGAAGGCCATGGTTTACTCGGTGCCCTGCCTCCTGTATTTGAATTGCTGCTGAAATGAGGCTTTGCACCTTTGTAGGCATGCGGTGCCGCATACCCGGACCGAGCTGGCGCCCGAAAAAAATGACCATGCTGCATTGCCAGCTCCGTAAAAGCGACTTCCTCGAATAAATGCGTAGACGACGGAGGAATCGCGTTAAACATAGGAGTTATAGATTCGGATTTTGGCCTGAAAGCTTTTCTTCTCAAATCAATAATCTCCGCTCTCCTGCCACAAGTGTACTGGAGAAGGTCATCACTAATGGATCTAAATTCAGAATGAACGTCTACAAATATACTTCGAGCTTCTGATGCAATGGAAGGATATTTGGATATTAAGTTCTTCAGCGCCTCTGCAAAGGCCTCCCTTTGTAGTAGCAGGCCATGCGTAATCGAACCTAAAGTGGAGTCCGACCTTGCCAAGTGATTATCGTTTGTAGATGAAATCCCTAGAAGCTGAGGATTAACTTTCAAGGCGCTAAACACTGGGTAGGCCTGAAACTTCTTTTGCACCTCTGCGTATCTTATCTTGTTGAAGGAGGTACTCTCTAACCGCTGGCACTGAATACCCTGTTTTCCAATAGTCGGCTTTGGTGCCGGAACTAAAGGCTCCTGCTCCTTAGTTTGTGGCGTAAAATCCCATTCCATAGGAGGCGCATCCGCGATGGATGGAGCCTTCCACGAAACCTCATCCTCCTCCTCCTCTGAGAAGGGTTGTAGATTCTCCTTCCCATCATCAGAGAGACTATAGGAGCTAGAGGGTCTGGTATCATTGAGCCTGTCAAGAACCGATGCCAGCATATTTTTCAGATCTTCATTACTCTTTTCTAAGGCATCTAGCCTGGATTTCTTACTCGCCTTCGAACTTACTGAAGGGCGGGTATTGATACTTTCTGCGTCAGAGTCTGCTTCAAGCTGACGAGAAGCCTCCAGCCTGGAAATCAACAACGGCTTAAGATCGGTTAAAGCAGCTAATGCTAGTTCGTTCTGAGCTAATGAACCACGAATTTTAGCAGCCAAAGAAGAAGGGCCTATAATGAGGCCGATGCAGAAGGGCCAGTCCAACATCTTCACCTTAATTTCCCTGTATTTCTTTTCAGAGATAGATATAGCCTCAGGGTTGAACGCCTGGATAAGACCCACGGTGGGTAGGGCGTAGCGGATTTTATTTAGAATCTGAGAATCCATTTCACCATTAAGGAGCTCTTTCTTTAGAAGATTATTAACTTTCCATTTCTTCCAGCCCTCTGGTAGATGAGCTACTGCCAGCTCTTTAATTCTGGAGAGAATGATATTCTCGTCCTCATCATCTAACTCCAGCCGAGCTAAATCTTCTAAAGTGTGCAAATTAGACTGTGTAACCATCTGAAACGAAAAGAACCTGCGTTAGCAAATTCAAAAGGTTCGTCCTTGGTATTGAGGCGCCAACTGCAAAATCTCAGTCGACGGTTCATACCTCGAGCCAGAGGCTCCTGGACTGAGGAAAAAACGACTCCTCAGCCCGAGACAAAGGCTCACCAATCTGAGCCGACGGTCCGAAAGCCGGAGCCGGCGGCTCGTCAGCCCGCCGTCTGGCCAGCCTGAGCCGACGTCTGACCAATTTGGGCCGACGACGACTGACCAGTTTGAGCCGACGGCTCCCAGGAAAGAGCCGCTCGCAGCTTTCCTACTGGTCTTTATTACTTATATTATTCCAAAATAGGTTGAAAACGCTAGTTTTGAAATATTTTTCTCACCTTAGAAAAACACTAACACAACGATTCACTAAGTTTTAACTCGAACGGCATCGCCGTTAAAACGTACTTCACAAAGACACCTACTCGAGCGAAGTTGATAGCGTACTGACTCGGAATACAGCCGCTTCGGGTGGCGAGGTCGTTGCGGCGGCGCGGCTGCCTGACGACAGGGGGAGTAAAAAAGGGAGCTTAGTTACGTAAAAGACACTTATGAAAGGGCGGGGATGATTGGGGTAATCTCACAAGGGTCAAGCCGACGGCACAGACCCTAAAATAACACTGTTCAGCGCGCAGAAGAATGGTACGATCCATTCCTTAAAATACAAGCGAGTATAACAGTGCGGATACTCGATTAACTCACACCTTCACTGTGCACGGGCTCATTTGATTATACCGTATTCATTCTACAAGCGCTTATAAAGCACAGCTATGATCTCAGCTATCATCTAGTATCACAGCGCCGTAGTGCACGTACCCTTAGTGTAGGTATGGATGCAACAGCATAACCGAGTTTGTTATACTCGATTTAGCTTAATTAAATTGTTTCTAACAAACGCTCGGTAAATTAGTTATTCACTAAAACAGTACTACAACATCATGGTACAATCAAAATGTTGGTATTTTTAATTTATCTAATACGGGATAATACGGGATTCGGTGTCGCATTTTTATTAGTTGACAGTTTTTCTCGTCTAATTGCTAACGTATTAATGATTTACCATTTTCAATAAATGAAAATTCTATTTTATATCCCGTGAAACTGTATAACTATCAAAGTTTATATCAAGTACACAATCATCAGATCTTCGGAAATCCAAAACGATCGTTTAAATATCTATCTGCATACCTCGTTAACGAATTTAAATCAGTAAATATTTAATTAATTTTATCCCACCCATCGACCATATTTTTGTGAATTAATTTCATTGCACACTTATCTAGGAATGGTTGCAGATAAACTTTAACAAATAGAGCTGTGATTTCGACAAATAGATAGAAACTATCAATCTTCCTGTGGAGATATGACGTGCTTGAGTATTTTGTTTTTTGAGGTGTTGACATTCTTTTTACTTATCATAAGATTGCGGATAACAATAAGTGTGGCAAAAATACGATAACATCATCAAAATATTAACATTCAAACAAGATACACGTCATTACAATTGTTGTCTATGATGGTTACCCATACTGAAACCAACTACTGGATTGCTGTGATAACAACATACTAAGTACTTACTATTATACTGAAGAGGTTTAATGGAGCGAACAATGTACTCACCTGGAACAAAAGAAAGTTTAATGCATGTTCGTGAAAGAAATATGGATGGAAAAAGTGTACAGATAATGTATCCTCTCACTTTGTGCCATTTTTCGCAGAAGGCACATTTATCTTTAAAATTCTCGATTTACTAGGTCTCTTTTTGATCTTTAATTTATATTCATTGCATGGTTAACACCCAATTTCATTCTCGATGCCCCAATATGTTGTTTAATTGACGCGGTTTCGAAATCAACACAATAGAATAGTGAAATCAATTTACCTACTTGTTTTGGTGTTATACAAGCTGCAACCTTCCCTTTCAATAAAATTAAATAAATACAAAATGGCATGGCGAAATGGCTTCGTAAGTGTCCAGAAAAGTAAAGAGAACCTGGTTTTGACGCATTTCCACAGGGGAATACCGCTTGATGTATGCTCACTTTCAAAATTACTTAATTATTTTCATTATTATAACTATATTCTCATAAGATGCAAAAAAACATACCCTTGCTTTTTTGGCCTGCTACTTGAGATCAAATAAGGTTTTTGAGCTTTTCAAGGTATATGCAAAATTTATCCCCTGTGAAATTGATGTAGACTATAAAAAAGACTTTATGGAATACGTAAATAAAGTAGGTGATTATAGAGTTTATTAAATAATTATCAACATAACTTTAATTCAATTGTGTCACCTTATAAACTAGCATTTTGCGTTTTTATCATAAACCAAAATTTCATAACTTTTAAAGTGTACATATGACTTTCCAAAAGGAATATGAATGCCGTTGACAGAATTTATTCCTACTATAACTTTTCCTATCCTGATTTCTAAATCATAATGGATTCTCCCGATATATAAATCAATGTTGATGGCGTTCTCATAGCCTCCAGAAATAACTGTATAATTTGAAAATAGACTCTGAACCTTTGAAGTATCTGTTGGTATCCATTTATATTTGCAGGGATTATGACTGCACAGAATCTAGAATCAAAAATATTACCAAGAAAGTGTTAACGCTTTCACTACATCGCACTCACTTTTCCATATTTTTGTTGTGTCAAAGGTGCGTTTCGGACCGTAGCATATAGAGATTGATCTCCCTCATAAATCATGGCAGGTAGTAATCCATCCTTATGGTTAAAGAGCTGCCCAATATATGCAGGATTACCTGCTTTATCATAACCACCACCCAATGCATCTGAAGGTATCTCGCCGAAATAGTCTCGCCAATAAAAATCTTATGGGATGTTTCGTTAAACGTGCTAGATTTAGTAATGAAATGCACTTACCAGAGGATATGTCGTCAGCGCATTTAAGGTTACTTACTTCGGACTTAATCAAAAAGATAGTTAACACTGTCAATATCATGGCGACTTCAAAATAGCACGGATGGTATAGTGTCGATTTTTCGATACTGAGTATGATAGCTATCGTTCAAATGTATAAAATGCGCATCACTGAGATAATCGTTAGATAAGGTATCGGATGATAAGCCAATGCTGTTTATTCTATTTAAACTCTGTCCAAACATAGAAGGGTACCTTGTAATCTTATTTGTACACTTAGCTAAGAAAGTACTAACTTCTTGCCTTGGTAGCAAGATACATATTCTTCTTGCGTTACTCTTTATTAAAAGGAACGGATCTGAACCTAGTTCCGAAGGAGAGGAGGTAAGCGGGCTCGCCTTGTGAACGCTCAAATTTAGAAAAGGTATAGATAAGTATTCTCCAACGCGGTACTACCTACAACACCATACCACTTAAAACATTTAAGACATGATTGGAGATCTTACTTTGATTCGAGGTTCTGGAAACTCTAAAGTGGTATCCACATACATACACGAAACGCATGCCGTCCTCTGTAATCAGGTTTTTCAAAATTACTTCTATCACATAAACCTCGAAATGCGATTGACCTACCACTCGGAATTCTTGAAATTCTGAATTACAAACCAGAATTTTAGGTTTGTAATGGAACTCTGGGTTTCTCTCTGGAAATAGTACATTGTAGGCAAGATTGTAAGAAACAAATTAAACGTTATGGCAATATCGTGTAGTCTGTAGCATGTTTGCATAAAACTCACTTATATTAGGATGTTGCATATTGAAATTTTAGAAAATACACAATGTTTACTATACTTAAAGTATATCTGAACTGATTACACTTTCACAGCCCTGCTTTGCATATTCCCTATAAATATGAATAGAGGCAAAGAACAATTTTACGTTTCTAGTAGTTGGTAAGAATGAGTTGTTTATTGTGCAACTTTCATCCCAAGCAATGTTAGAAGGGAGTAAAAAATTGAGTATTTATATTGGATTATTGCCACGGAATTTTACTTTTTTTAGTTGGTTGTATGTAGTTGTAAAAGTTATAGACTAGAAACCAATTTCGAAAAAAATTCAAAGGGCTGTAACTTTTGAACTAGTAGCCCAATCTTGGAACTGTTTGAAATTATGGATTCTACAGGCCACATTCTACAAGAAAATTTTTTTCCGGGTCGATCTGAGACAATTTTTTTTGCGGGCATCAAAAAAAGGCAGTGTTATTACCTTCCTTTTTTGCCAAAAATTGACTGCACCAAAATTTCTCGGGAAAACACTTTTTCTTATTAATTTTGGTGCGTAGAATCCAAAACAATTCGTACTTTTTCGATCAGACTTCTCAATCAAAAGTTATAGACTAGAAGTACCAATTTCGAAAGAAAATTCAAAGGGCTGTAACTTTTGAACTAGTAGCCCAATCATGGAACTGTTTGAAGTTATGGATTCTACAGGACACATTCTATAAGAAAATTTTTTTCCCGGTCCATCTCAGACAATTTTTTTTTTGGCCTCAAAAATAGGCAGTACTTTTAAGTGATTCAAATATTTGAGAACAATTTAGAAATGTTTAGGGAAAGTTTCTATTGTCACAAAGTCAAATATAAAAATCCGATACATCTGAATACCGAACTCGATAGTCTACGTAACTTAAAAACAATAGGGACCTTTCTTATATCCTTAAGACCATATGTACCAATTTTCAAAGCGATCGCACGTTTCTAAACAAGTTATCATGCACACGGACAAACGGATGGTCAAAAATGGATCTGTTCCAAAATAGCTAGGATTAATTTCAGAAAGGCGTTCGGAATAGGCTATAATTTTTCGTAATCTAAAACAAGATTTATCTTTGTCACATTCTCATTCAATATTTTTTAATAAAAATTAAGCAAGAATTAAGGTTCTATTGAACAATTGATTGTTAACCTTGTGCACGACGTACGATCGCTTTGAAAACTTGTACACGTATTCTTAAGGATATAACTTACTAGTATAAGAAAGGTCCTGTTGGTAGGTACCTGCTATATAATAATAATACGCTTTTACTCTCATTAAATTTGTATAATAATAGAAATATAAAAAAAGCTAACCCCATACAAAGTATAACTTGATTTTTTAAGTAGTATTACGCCTTTTATCTAGTATACTATTTTAAATTTTTAATGTATTTGAGTGACAAGTATTCGAATAATTTTTATAGTATTCGAATACCTTTGATAGTATTAGAATAGTTTTGAAAGTATTCAAATACTTTTTGAAAGTATTCTGCCCAGCTCTGACTTAAAAGATACAAAAATGATATTCCATAGGTATTTTTGCATCACCTTATTGCTAGATGTGATTTAATTATCGTTTGTCGCTGTTTTAGCATAGTGTTTCAAGCGACAGTGTTAGGGCTGTTAAAGACTGAACTAGCTAGTTATGTAACAAGTTGCAAATTGACTGTCTTTGGCGCACTAGACGTATATTTGTCAAATGAGGGCGGCGAAGGATTGAATTTAGAAATTTAATGCGTATAACATTAGAAACTGCTTGACAAAAAAATTGTAGGTAGTGATGCGACTAACCATGAGTCTCGACGAGACTCTCGTTTGATCTCGAGGTTTGTTTTGTATTTATTTGTACGGGTTTTTCTAAATTTGAATCACGAGAATCAATTCAAGTAGCACGAATTCAAATTGTTTACATAAACCGTCCCTGATCTTACTGGTTTAGGACTAAACTACCCTATGGTAGTAATGACTGTAACTTTTCTTAAATCCAGGAAGCCTTCGACAGCTTTACCTTATTTTATTGGAGGACAGTTGTACCCTCATCAATAGACGTATATCTGGTGACTCAGGCAATGGTAATTGTCTATGCTGGACAAACAAGAATTGGCTAATAAGTTCTCGCGGATTCCTTTATATTAAAAGCACATTGTGCTTTCAGAAGTTTATGGCAATAAATCCAATCGTTTGTAGCTATAGATACATATTTACCGCGTAGTTGGGATCATAAAAGTAAGATTTTACAAAGTAACTTGGTCAGATTATCTTTAGGTAGCTATTTAAATAACAAAGAATACAGTGTGTCTTTCCTAGTTATAAGTATTACCAGTTACATTTTATAAAAGCTGATATTTTTTTCCTCAAAATACGCGTAAGTAATAGAGAAATTGTCTTTTTTGATTAGCAGGTACTTGTCATGCCTTCTTGGTGCCTTTTATACGTTCTACACCGTTTTTAGATAATATGTCGTGACCAAGCGAGACCAAACGATACGAGACGAGACGAGACTGAACCAGATCGAAACGAGACTTTGCCTTGGCCTCGTCTCGCGGCAACACTAATTTAGTGTAGGTATTTCAGTTTAATTAGAAAAGCTGAAAATCTCATTTTAAAAGATGTGGAAATCACGCCCTAATAATAATAAATAGTACGATCTTAGTCCCAAAAACGTCATTGTAAACGATGAACTTTTCAAAAATACTTTTTGCAAACAAATATAGGTACCGTTTAATTTCTTCTTCTATGTCCTGGTTTTAAAGAATGCGTTGTAAAGAAGGTTCGCGTGACCATTCACAATAAGATAAAAATCAGTAAACACCGATCCAAACACTTTAGCAGTATCATTAAACTTTAAATAACAGGAACAGAGATACTATTTTATCAATATTGATATCAGCCTCTTAAGATTTGTGGCGCAATCATTTTAAATTTAATTCATTTCAAATGTGGTAATTTTCACCTGGCCACCCTGTATAACAAGTTTTCCAGTAGGTATATCTTTATTTTCTTAAGGAGAATAATATGCAATTTTTATAAACTAAATGAACTGTATTGAATTGTACTGGCGGTACGTTGTGACATTTATTTTTATATTAAAACAAACTCTAATATGAAAACTAGATTTAATTTGTGCAAATTGCACATACGCCGACCCCCTTGAAAGATCTGCCTTCAAAGAAATACAAAAACAATATGGCATGGTAATACAAAGTCTTAAGCAAATGTGCCGAGTTCAGTTTATGAAATATTCGATACCAAAGAGAAGCTCACTTCGACATATTTATTTGAACTTGCAAAGTTACACCTGCAAAGTTATACATAACATTCCATCGCACATACGCCAATATGCCCGCGTATTATATTAGAGCGACTCCGCAAAATACGTCTGTTCGTCTTGTAGACACATTCGTTACTATTATAATGTATACTGTCTTGCCCATAGGTTGAAAATCTTGAATTATTGATTGTAACGTCTTTACAACAGCAGAGGTTATTGTTTCTTCGAAAAGAGGAAACTTAAAGTTTTATTTTTGTGTGCCCCATTTCTTTGCGCTGCAGATTTGTTTTGTCTCCGAATATTATTAAGAGAGCAGATACGAGTAATACGCACCCGACTTGAAAGTAAAAACCTTTTCCCGTAAGTAATTAACGATTAATCCTGCCTTGCAAGTACTGCCACCTTGCTCGTACTTGTGTTTTCCAAGTTTCCAATTTACTTTCCAAGTAGTTTCTATCTTTACTGGTGTCGCAATACTACATGAAGTTTTAATGATTAAGTAAGCACAATTTAACATGGGTTGTTTTTAGAGTCAAGTTCTATGTGGATAAATAAATGTAAGAGCTCTAACTGACACATTTTCGTCAGCCAATCACCGAATCAAGTAAGTATAGGGTTATTTAAGCACCGTTAAAAAATTCGCTCTCACTGCTTCTTACCACTGATACAGTGGAAGCGTAGGTATAGTTAATAGTTATGACTTATGATGACTATTTTGTCTGTCCGTTTGTTTCAAAGTAGTTTGTCGGTCTGCCCGTCTAGGCGCAAGTGAATTTCGCTGGAAATACCGTAAGACTAATCATTTTAGCGTCGTAACTTTCTAACTAGGTATCCGTATCTAAACAATACCAAAACAAATGATATTTATGAGTAAATGCGTTATCTAATGGAGGGTATTAAAGCGTATAAGTCGAGGAACAATTTATTGAGCGAAAGCTCGATGCCACAAAAATTTATAGCTCATTCGGACTCTCATTTACGACGAGTGGAAGACAAAATCGTGTCACAATAAACGAAACCAAGCCTTTTGTGGTGTAATACGCTTCAC